CGCTCCAGGTGAATTCTCCTGATTATATCCTGCTGCGTTCTCACATCAGCTCACTCTGACTTTCTGTAGAATAAATACGAGGAGGCTGGAGGAGAAACTTGATACCACACTTACGTTCTGATAAGATCAGATGTTTCACGTTACATAGTCCAAACGATGGACAGATTAATCTAAAAAAACAATCTGCAGGTTGATAATGAATCAATAAGAATAATTTTATGCGACAACATCCATCAGAAGGACGATGTTTAATACGGAGGATAAAGACGCTGAACCTGCAGTTTGACTTCAAGAGAAACATGACTGAGAAGCTTTTCTCCTCCTCCTTCATCACCTCTGATGAATCTCTTTATACCTGCATCATCCATCCTGCAGGTGTGTGTGTGTGTGCAGATTTTTCATGTTATAATTAAAAGCAGTGAAGAAAGTGATGAATGAATTAAAGACAAAGAGGAGGAGGTCAGAGAGGAGAGAAAGTTTACAGGATACAGAGATCAGTGTGTGTGTGTGTGTGTGTGTCGTACCCTTTGATACCACACGATTTAAAAAAACCTACACCTGTTAAATAAGACAGGCGAGGAACGCGTCCAGAGTTTCACACAAACTCCTGCAGAGTCTAAACGTTCCCTTACGTTGTGTTTGTCTACAACTTTCTGTGATTAAAATTAAAAAAAATGACCTGATACTGGGTTAATTGTTGCCATGGTAACAAACAGGTGATGGTTTGAACTTTAATAGAATTGTCATGACGAACGTGAGGTGTCGTACCTTGCTCAGGAGACTCTGCAGTTCGGAACATTTTGGTAACCACTGGCGACAGGTCCTCGTAGGCGGAGCCGACTGACTGACAGGTGAGGTGGACCAAGTCTGCAAAAAAAAAAAAAAGTGTCAACCACCTTCAACAACCTCACCTGAGGTCACTGGTCTCCATTCTGTGTGTGTGTCTCTGTGTGTGTTACTGTGTGTGTGTCTATCTGTGTGTGTGTGAGTGAGTGTGTGTGTCTCTGTGTGTGTTGGTGTGTGAGAGTCTGTGTGTGTGTGTGTCTCTGTGTGTGTGTGTGTGAGTGAGTGTGTGTGTCTCTGTGTGTGTGTGTGTCTCTGTGTGTGTGTGTCTCTGTGTGTGTTGGTGTGTGAGAGTCTGTGTGTGTGTGTGTGTGTGTGTGTGTGTGTGTGTGTGTCTGTGTGTGTCTGTGTGTGTCTTGAGATAAATGGTGTTTAGTTTTAAAGGCGTTCAGGTCCACTGACTCAGTAACCAATCACAGAGAAGCATCAGAACACTGCAGAAGATGAAGATGAAGATTTGACAGGTGTGTGTGTGTATCTGTGTCATAAATCAGTGTTTCTCTTTTCAAGGACGATGCAGGTTTTTCTCTCCAATGTGTGACATGCGGTGTGAAAGCTCTTTGAGGAGTCAGAAGACTAGAAAAGAAATAAACATTTACCATTTACAAGATGAGATGACATGAAAAGAGATCAAAGATGTGATGAAGACGGGCATTAGACGAGACGAGAGCAGAAAAAATTACAATTTGAAAACTTGGAGACAAGACAACGATCACCGAGCGGTTATGTCATGTAGTAGAAGATATGAGAGTCTCACATGTTCCTGGCATGCAGGTCATCGTAGACGAGCAGAGCTCCACCATCCTCACCGCTGGACACCCTGCTGCTATTGGAGGAACCGTTACCATGGAGACCTGATCATACAGACAGGTAAAAATTGGACGTGAATTTAAGAAGATGGAATAAAAAAATCCTTAGAGGGTTTCATCTTATTACTGAACACACACGCACACACAGCTTAATATCAATGAAGCATCATATTTCTCTGACCACTTTTAATTCAGTATTACAATGTTTAACCTTTACTAATCTGTGTGTGTGTGTGTGTGTGTGTGTGTGTGTGTGTGTGTGTGTGTGTGTGTGTGTGTGTGTGTGTGACACTCGTTAGGACAGACAGACGTTTAACCAGACAGATGATTTGATTTACCTGTTGGTCTGAGTCACTGAGAAGGACGGAGCTGTCAGTTATCAACACAGCTCTGGAGATCAACCTGAACAGACAAACAGACAGACAGGTCAGACAGACAGACAGGTCAGACAGACAGACAGGAATGTTCGAGTGGAGGCTTATATGATGTGGTTGATTTGTGGGTCGTGACCTGGTGGGTGTGGCCAGCTTCTTGCGGTCCGCCCCCACATAACCATCTTCCATCACAAAATGGCTGCAGCTGATTCGCTGTCCTTGGCTGTCAATCACAGCCTTACACCTGCAAAAAAGGGGGAGGAGATAAGAACCCATGATGTTATTGAAAGTGTAAAAAGTGAATTTATCTGCATGTTTTAAAACGACCAATCAGATCTTCTTAAAAGTCCTCCTGACCTGCAGCTTGATACACACACACAAACACACACACACACACACACACACACACACACACACACACACACACACACACACACACACACACACACACACACACCACACACACACACACAACACACACACACACACACACACACACACACAGAAGAGCTGCTGAAACCTATTATTGGGAATAATGATGCGCACCAAAGCTCATCTATAACCTCTGACACACACACATTCTGGAGACCATCAGCAAGAAGGTCACACACACACACACACACACACACACACACACACACACACACACACACACACACACACACACACACACACACACACACACACACACACACACACACACACACACACACACACACACACACACACACACACACACACAGTCAGAGATTCTTGTGTGACTCTTTTTATCATTGTTGGCATTTACACCTTGAGATTTATTGACTGCAGCTCTCTGTGGCCGCGATCATTGTGTGTGTTTGCGAAAGTGTGTGACCCACATATGTGTAAAAATCACTGGGGGAGCAGGTATAAGGTATGTATAAATCAGCCCCTCCCCCATTGCAGACACAAACACCAAATGTTTGTGTGCATACACACCAAGCATCATGGGAAATGTGTTTCTCACACACACACACACACACACACACACACACACACACACACACACACACACACACACACACACACACACACACACACACACACACACACACACACACACACACACACACACACACACACACACACACACACACACACACACACACACACAGAGCTGTTTCCCCCCTCACAGTCTCAGCTGATCCTGTCTCACATCTGTAACACCTCTGATTACCTCTGAAGATGGTACAGAGGGGCGAAGTTACACCTCCACCACATTCAGACTGAAGGAGAAACGTCACAGGGGCGAAGATATCTAGCAAGAAACAGCGCTCCGAACAATTCTAATGTTTTTTTTATAAGCACACCTGTCTGATAAAGACATGCTAACAGGCTAATGTCACCATGACAACATCATGTGACAGATGATGACCTCCCACAGGGGTGTGTGTGTGTCAGCAGCCCATCAGTCATTTAATCAGAAAGTTGATGAGGCAGCAAATAAAGACAGAAAGAGAGAGAGGGGCGAGAGAGAGAGAGTAAGGGAGGGGGGTTGGGAGTAAGGGAGGGGGGACAGTGAGATGTTAAAAGGAGGAGAAATGAGGGAGTGGATCTGAGGAGGTGATGAAGAGGATCAGAGGTTAAATTATGAAGTTCATTTCCTCTCCATAAATTGAATATTTCACTGATCATAAATTATCATCCAATCACTGAAAGGTCACACACACACACAGCCCCCCCCCCCACACACACGCTCACACACTGCCCCTCATCGTGAGTACTTTGGTACTACAGTGTAAATCAGAGTTTTACCTCAATGTACAGGTGTTCATGCGTACCTGTTGGAGTCCTTGTCGAGCAGCAGACAGGTGATCGAGTGTCTCAAACAGTAGATCCCTCCAAACACAGCACACATCCTGAAACAAACAAAGATCTGTTATCCAATCAGCTAATAATAATAATACATTTAATTTGTAACGCACTTTACATTTTTGCAAAAAAAATCTCAAAGTGCTACAGGAAAAAAACCAAAATAGAAATAAAAAGAAATTTAATCAACGAAGCAACTAACGAATCTAAAAGCACAAGCAGAAGGATTTATTAAAAAGGTGGGTTTTTAGAGCCCTTTTAAAAGTGTCAGCAGACTGTGGAGCCCTCAGCTGCTCGGGGAGAGCGTTCCACAGCCTGGGAGCAGAGGAGCAGAAGGCCCGGTCACCCATGGTGTGGAGCTGCCTGTCAGACCGTCAGCCAATCAGCAGGCAGAACATATGACAAACAGTCACAGCAGTGTGTACCCAAGTTTACCTGAATTATCAGAGAGGTCAAAGGTATCTTTATTGTCCCCACAGGGAATTTTTTTTGGAGCTGGAGACAAATACATAAACAACACTAATAAATCATCCAAACCTCAAGTGCATAAGTACATACAACATGAAACATGAAGCCCGGCAGAGATGCTCCAGCATCACGCTAAAAATGATAAAGTGCAATGAGCAATGAATTAGAATTCAACTGCTATTCAACAGACAAATAGCAGCAGGTACAAATGAGACCCGATGCCTTTTAGTCTTCACCACCGTCTGCCTGAGGGGTGAAAGGGTGATCTGGGCTCTGCAGGAGAGAAGTCGCCTTTCTGACCACCTGCCAGTAGAGGTCGCTCAGCTGGACTTGACTCCTCCCTGCAATCTTGTCGCCACTTTAACCAGGCTACCTAGTCTGTTTTTATTGGCTAGAGCCAGATTACCATACCAGGCAATAATACAAAACATTAAAACTGATTCAATAGATATTTTATAAAAGAGGGTCATCATCTCAGAGGATACATTAAAAGAACACATTTGTCTTAGGAAATACAACCTCTGTTGGACCTTCTTTGTGGTAACAATAGCATGTTGCTCAAAGGACAGTTTGTTGTCCAGCACAGTGGCCAGATATTTGTAGCTGTTCACTATCTCTATACCAGCACCCTTTAATATGGTTGGCACAGGACTAGATTGAGTCTTCCTAAAATCAATAATCATGTCCTTTGTTTTCAGTAGGTTTAGCTGAAGGAAAGACTCATCACACTAGGATGTGAATTCATCAACCACAGGCCCATGGTGATGCTCCTCCCCTTCAAGAAGACTTAAAATCACTGTGTCATCCGCAAATTTAACTACATGCCTCCTAATGTGATTGCTACAGCAGTCATTTGTGTACAAGATAAATAATAAAGGGGAGAGACAACATCCTTGAGGAGAACCAATGAAGGAGTACAGCTGATTGGAAAAAAAATACTTACATATTTTATACAGATCAAAGTCAAGAAAGATTATCTATATTTTTACCTGACAAAGGTTCAAATTCTGTTATGACTGACAGGTGTCTCAGCCAATCACAATCCGCTGGGTGTATCTCTTTCAACCCCCCCATCCCCCTCTAATAACTAACATAATCACATTACAGCTAACTTAGAACAACACACACACACACACACACATATCTGTCATCACATATTAATTAAAGAGTGTGTGTGTGTGTGTGTGTGTGTGTGTCAGAGCAGTAATATCCTCAAAGGATCGTCAAATATGTAAATGAGCTCAGCCCTGGGCGACACCCCCTAATTAATATTCAATGCTGCTCTAATTAGAGACAGCAGCTGTTACCGTGACAACCAACCAAACAGCCTCCTGAAACTGAAAGTCGCACAGGTGTGAGACAGACAGACAGACAGACAGACAGACAGACAGGCATACAGGCAGACAAAGAGACAGACAGACAGACAGACAGACGGACAGACAGACAGACAGACAGACAGACAGACAGGCAGACAGACAGACAGGCAGAAAGACAGACAGAGAGACAGGCAGACAGAGAAACAGACAGACAGACAGACAGACAGACAGACAGACAGACAGACAGATGGACAGACAGAAAGACAGACAGAGAGACAGGCAGACAGAGAAACAGACAGACAGACAGACAGACAGGCAGACAGACAGACAGGCAGAAAGACAGACAGACAGACAGACAGACAGACAGACAGAAAGACAGACAGAAAGACAGACAGAGAGACAGGCAGACAGAGAAACAGACAGACAGACAGACAGACAGGCAGACAGAAAGACAGACAGACAGACAGACAGACAGACAGACAGACAGACAGACAGACGGATGGACAGACAGGCAGAAAGACAGACAGAGAGACAGGCAGACAGAGAAACAGACAGGCAGACAGACAAAGAGACAGGCAGGCAGGCAGGCAGACAGAAAGACAGGCAGACAGACAGACAGACAGGTGTGCAGACAGGTTCTTACCTACAGAAACACTGGGGTATCTCTCCAAGGCCGTAAACAGGAAACAGGAAGGGAGTGTTGCCGTAGCGACCTAGGCAACGTAGGAAGTGACGTGTTGAGGCGAGTCCCTCTTCTGTGGGCGTGTCTTCTGTTACCATGGCAATTGAGTGAAGCAGGAAGTGCTGCAGGTTGTCACCGAGCTGCTGGTCACGCAGGAACTCCAAATATGGCCGACCTCTGTATGCTGAAAGAAGAGAGGATGAATCAATACATTACCTACAATGCCCTACATAATAGGAACTTCTTATATAAATGTACAGGTGAGTCTGCTGGACAGGTGAGGTGTCTCACCCTGCTGCTCCTCTGTTTCTTCGACACAGGAAGTGAGGAAACGCATCAACTTCCTCTTTTCTACCACAGACAGCTGACGGTTCGCAAAAACATCAGCTCTGCTGCACGGCACCTGAGAGACACACAGGTGATGTACAGGTAACATACAGGTGAACACAGGTCATATCCAGGTAAACACACAGGTAAAGTGAGCGAGACTGAGAGGTAAACACATACACAAAGGCTGAGATAGAGACAGGTGTAGAAGGTGTATGGATTAGACTCACCTGTTCTACGCTGCCATTCCTGTAGGTCAGTATCCTGGTGACGTTCTTAAACTCTGCATAGCGACTGACGTTTGATTTGATGAGCAGATCGACCAATGAGCCGCGAGAATACATGAGCTGAAGAAGAAGAAGGTGTTTTTACGACTGATTGTGCAACTCTTTGTTCAATAATATCTCCAACATTAGTTTTTATTTAAACTTATCGACGTTATCGAGGTCATCACAATGATTCTAGTTAAAAACGACAGCCCGACGACAACAATAAAGGTCCTAGACACTTGATATCAGGTCGTTTATTGTTTTTAACGATGAAACGTTACACACAAACTCCTGCGTTTTTATGGGGTTTAGGGGGGTGGTTTTAAGTCACATGACACGGCGTTACCTTGGAGACCAGGTCGATGTTGAACCTGCGGCCTTCCTTCACCAGCTGAGCATAGCTGATCTTCTTCTTCGTTGGTACTGATTGGCTTTGAGCTGCTGAGGGGGCGGGTTGATCGGCCTCTGGCTCCTGCCCCTCTGTGTGTGAAGCCTGTTTGATTGGACAACACATCTGTCAGTAATCCAGCTGTGCTGCAGACGACCCATAATTCAAAGCAGTGATCTTATGATCCACATTTTGAGAGTTATGAAAAATGAAGATGATGTTCACATTGTTCATCCTGTTTCATGTTCAAGAAGAAGACCTAGATCTTTGTCCCTCACCTCTTCTTCTCTGTCTGCTGTTCCATCTGCTTCCTCCGTCATTTCTTCTTTTGGCTCTAAACATAAAGACAAATAGATTATCGTCCTGTCGACCCTGACTGACCTTTAGATCTGCTCACTGAAATATTTATCTGTTCATACCTAAATATTACAGGAGTGAAAACTAACGGTGACTCACTCAGAGCTCTGTCTAACCACGCCCACTCCTCTCGGGGCGCCCTCAAACAAACCTGCACATTCTGTCTCTGACGTTTCTTTGACAGCGACTTCATCTACTCCTCCTCGTTCTTCTTCTGTGGTGTTTAGACATTTCTCCTCCACCTCCTCCTCCTCCTCCTCCTCACTGAGAAAAACGTTCGTAAAAACATTCATAACTCTTTGATTCAGTCGTGTGTGGGCATTTAAATTCAATCATCAAACCAAATAACAACAAAAATAAGGAAAACACTGAAAGGCTTTTAATGTGAAAGAGCAGCAGCAGGAAATATGTCTATAACGTGAGTTCAGGTATGTGTGAGGCTTACCTGGTGTAACAGAACACCTGCACGTTACTGATTGAGGAGGAGTCTGAGTTTGACAGGTGGATCAGCTCCTCCCCTTCCTCCACAAGACTCGACCAATCCTGAGGCTCCTCTGGCTGAGACTCCTCCTCCTACCACACACGCATACATTATTAGTTAACGTTTCTAATCCCTCATCTTTCCCATCATGCTCAGCAGGAGTGAAATCCTCCATGATTGTAGTTTACATTGCACAGGAACATGGAGGTGATGTGGTGAGTTCAGCAGCCAATCAGAGAGCAGCATTGGACTCACATGTTGCTTTTGTATCCAGGTGAGCAGGCCGTTGAAGGTGAAGCTGGCCCAGTTAGCTGCATAATAACTCCTCCTGAAGAAACAGTTTGATTAAATCGTACACAACACCTGCATTCTCTCTGACGGCCAGCAGGGGGCATAAATCTGTCTCATTCTTTATAAGTCAGCTGATTGATTCTCTCCGTAAACATTCTCCTAATGAGTTTATGTTCTCAGTCTGTAGTTTAAGTCTTCTTCAACACAGCATGATGTTGATTTAGTCAATGATGGACCAGTTGATGTCATTCAATGATTTCAGTCAGAAACACGTTTTACATTCACAATTATGTTAATGAAGTTTCATATCAGACTGATCATTAATGATCATGAAAATGTCACGTTTCTTTCTTTATTTAGAACTTAATAAATAATTTCCAGTATTCCTAGGACATCATAAAATATCTTTGATTATGAAATACAGAGTTCATTATCAAATTATTACTCAAAAATAAATAAATAAACAATTCAATATTAAATATTTTTGTCAGTAGAAATTGTCCTTTTGGTTTTAAGCAGACTGCAGGTTGTTTCATGTACAGGTGTTTGTTAGGTAGCATAAAGGACTAACACTGCTACTGAGAGTATTCATTAGAAATAATACAGTTCATATTTATGCGGACATAAAAGCTGTTTTAAGTCGACTGACAGCTGAACGTGATCAGCTGATGTCATCATCACACGGACATCGCTTCACGTGAGTACAGAGGAAAGGACGTCTCATGTCTCTTAAAACATATCTCCTCATTTCCTTCCTCCTTGCTTCGTTTCCTTGCATCTCTCCATGCATCTCTGGTGGGAGGGATAAGACGCAAGTGGAGGACACTTGGATGCAATTAAGGGAACTGGGATGTAC